GGTTAGAAGTCCTGGGTCTCTAGGCCCATGGAACTGTGACCAGAGCCTCAATCCTGTCCCACCAGGCAATGAAAACAGTCTCAGGAGCTCTCCGCCTCCACATTACCTCCTGTTCAGATTTTCCCAGTGAAATGTGGGTTTTGGGATTGAAAAAGGTATAGAAGGAGAGAGGAGAGAAGGACATGAACTGGCCACTCTTTCTCTGCCACCTAGGGCTCCGAGGGGGCCGTGGTACTAAGCTGTCTGCCAACACGCTCATGAACTGCGTCTCTTCAGCCTCATTTCACATGGGAAGAATGGAATCCCAGACTTTAACAACCGGATCGCAGTAACACTGCTAATTGCTCCAAATTGACCAAAACCACACCCACGACTTTCTCAGCGTAACATACTCCTTCTTTTAATCTGAGGGAAAGGAAACGTTTTTACTCACTGTATGAAAAATAGGATGCAATTAACTGCTAAGGGACAAGACACTAGAACAGATCATCCTGATTTAGCATTCTTATTAAGGGTTTAGAAAATGCGTCTAAATTGGCATTTGGCAGTATTGGATGGCTCTGAGCTGTCTTAGAGTAGGAATTCCCCCCAGTATAAAGCACACAACCCTGGTAATAAGTGACATTTAGCAGATATTTACATACTTCTTGTAGAAAGGTTATGTCAAAACCAGGTGCGTGTCACACTCAGAATTTCTGCTCCTGTAATATTACAAGCTTTCACTGTCAACAGGACTCAGGGATTTACCTTATTTAGGGAATATAACGAACCAGAAGAACTAGTGAGGGTGTCTTGAACGTGTGGTTCAACGTTCTGTAAAATTATGGAAAGAGTTTTTAATTGCTTGGCTTAGATTTTCCCCTCCAATTTTATATCTCGTGAATGCAAAATACAAGATCCTGGGCCCTTTACAAAATGTGAAGCGTTCTCTGTGGCAGACCTGTGACTCATCACTGACACGGAAGAGAAAGCAGAGACAGTGAGGAGAGAACTGGTACTATTGGCAAATGGACTCGAGGTTAATTCGCCTTACAAATGGCACGCCTGGTGAGGCCCTGTGGCCGGTGAAATGATGCTCACCCACCCCGCCCGCGGCCTTGCTCGGGGACAAGGACATTTCCCTCGTACAGAGCCGTTCCTTCCCCAAGCAACATTTTATTTTCACTATTTTCCACAGGCTCTTTTGTTTTTGTAAAGATGTTTTAAAAATTAAAATATTGATTTTTTTCCTTTTAATTGGACACATCGGTCCAATTATTTAAAGACAGGATGATCAAAAATTGTCTACTGTTTCATTAATTTTCACAAGATAGTAGAACAGGAAATATAAAAACAAGAATTTAATAAAATTTACTCAATACTAGAATCAACTGGTTGAAATGACACCTCCCCGGGTGACACTTGGGACAGTCAGTGTGTAGACCAGCATGCTGCCGAAGTGATGCATGGGCTAAACTGCGAATTCTCAGCTACGTCCTGTGTTGGATTTGCTTTCTTTCTGTTTTTTTTTTTTTTGGTTTTGTTTTTCTTCCAGTACCAGGAATGGAACTCACGACCTTGCGCTTGCCAGGCAGGCACTGTGCCGCTGTGCTAAATCCCCAGCCCCGGTTTTGCTTGCTTTTAAGAAAGCCAACTACGAGGGCGGCAGGCTGCAGCACTCAGGCTGAGTCCCCAGACAGGCTCTTCACCCCCACCACGGCCGCCTGGGAGGCCCCGCACACACCTGAGTCTCAGCATCTGGTTTTGACCCAGAATGAGATAGCAGAAAGTGTCAAAATGGTTTAAAATACCATATTCAGAGCAGGAGTGGTGCTCTGACTTCAGAGCAAAGGGTCTCGCTCTGAGTGTCCCACGCACATTAGCTTGTGACCTTTGCTTTCATGTAGGCAGGCTCGGTTCTTGTTTTCAGCAGTGTTCTCTATGGCAGGGTTTCCAAAATCTACTTGGGTGACAGCAGTCGTATTCCTCATAATCACAGACGCCGGTGAAAGGCAGATATTTCAGAGTTATGGAAGCCACAGAGTTCAGTTTTTCTGGTACTTGTTCTTTTTCTAAAAAACATTTTTTATTTTATGAGAAAAACAACATAAAGTTTCGTGATCAAATAATAAAAGAGTAGCCATAGTTTTTATACTGCATGTTGTTATCTTCAAAGTAATTGCTCAGAGCACAGACATAAGCCGAAAAGGCCCTTATAAAAAAAACAGATAATAACACAAATCTACTACGTGAAGTAAGTCAGACACACAAGCTCAAATATCGCATGGTTTCTGTTTATGAGAAACACAAGAACAAAACAGAAGAGAGATAAGCAGGAATCAGGGAGTAGGTCCAATGCTTTCTCAAATTACAAATTCCATTGTTTTAGAAATATTCCAATATATATGCTAATTGGCTTCAATTATACTACTAGTTTATCTTAGTTCACTGGTTTTTGTTTTGAACCCTGTTTTCTCTGTAACTACTTCTTGCCTGTATTCCTGAAAGATAGTATGCCTGAGTCCTTCGTTTATCTTATAATGCAAGGGGACACTCTTACATTCAGCAGTCATGGACCGCTGACGCCTACATTGCTTTATTATTAACTGGGTGTTCGAAAGCACCTACTTTGCTTGCCTGCTTTGGGGACTGGAATGTAAGACCTTATCTATTTCTTCCTCCTCCTGGACCTGGGGGGGAAATTGAGTCTTTCCCCCACCGCCTGGCATCCAACTCAACGCTAGCATCACATCTGCAATGCTGGTGAGAGGGACGTTTACTGAGACGCCTGCTCCAGTGTGTGACCCTGGTTCTCGCTCTCAGAACCAGGGCTGCACACTTTGTTTTACCAACAAGGAAACCAAGGCCTGGGGGAAGTTCCTAACTCTGTCCAGTAGCACAGCTGGACTTGAAGGCAGACGTCTGGTTCAAAGCTCCGGCTTTGGAAAGTTGATCTGCCGTCCAGATGACAGACCCCGAGCCCACAGCCAGCACCAGGGTGTGTGTGAGCACCTGACAAGCAGTTCTGTGAGTGAGAACCACAGGAGACAAAAGGAGACAGACGCGCAGACTTGTTTACCAGTAACATCGCTATGTAGTAAGCGCCCATGGCCCTGGGGCACATGGAAGGAAATGTAGGCATATTTGGTGCCAGGCAGCATTTGCCCCAGCACATTCCAGTTGTGAACCATCCTGCCTGAATCTCACCAGGAGAGCCTGTCCTGAGGTCCTTCCCTCTTCGTGTCAGATCAGCTCTCGTAGCCCCAAGGCTGAAGCATGCTATTGAGAATCCACAGAAGTTTTGCACTGACGACATTCGCACTTCCAGCAGTCTTTGTTTGGCTAGTTTTTAACTTCTCTGATAAGAGGCGATCTGCACCACCACAGCTCTGGCAGGGTCTGTGACTCGGTTCCAGCTCCTGCTGCTTTTGAACGCAGACAGAGCAGTAGTAATAATGCTCAGTACCAGCGTAGCCCCTCAGTACCTGGTTGCTCTCTACTGCCTGGGTCTGGACCGAGTGCAGTGCCAGGACAGCCTGGCACACTGTGATACTGCTGCATACCCTGCACAGCAGCATTGCCAAGCACATGCCAGGTGCCAGGTAAACAGCGCCTGAGTCCATGAGTGAATGAGTGAGTGAATACAAGGTTTCCTGTTAGATTTACACATCTCCCCGGAGTTGATAAGAGAAATGAATCTATAATTGATTAATGAACAAACTGTAAGACATCTTGCTACTTAATGGCTTACAAAATCACCCAGCTGATTTTTATTAGATTATTGCTTGCTTAAGAATCTTTGTACGCATAGTTATTTCCATTCCTCTGCATACAAATAAAATTTTTCATTTAAAAATATATGCCAAGGCTGGGTGTAGTGGCACATGTCTGTGATCCCAGCACTCGGGAGGCTGAGGCAGGAGGAACACTGTGGGTTCGAGGTCAGCCTGAACTGCATAGTAAAACCCTGTCTCAGGCAAGATTGATAAAATAAAGGCAATCAAATAAAATAAATATATATGTAAAAAACACCGCAACAAAGACCAGCAGTGCAGGCTCTGATCTCAGGCAGGATGCCCTCCTAGGACAGCCCACCAGTTGTTAGTTAAGGCCAGACTACTCTTTTTGTGTCTCAGTGTCTCCTCTGCAAAGGAAACCTAGGGATAGCTGCCCGGTAAGGCTGACAGGAGCTGGCAGGAGTTAAGGACTCGCCCCTGGAGCATAGGTGGGGCTCAGACTGAGCTCCCTTGAGTTCATCCTCTCCAGGTTATAATGCCGCCATTGAGGAAGGCACTGAGGGAGAATGGTCCGAGTGGGAGCTGATGGGTGGAGGCTCGTTAGGAGGGAGCTCTCCGGGCTGAGTGTAGCGGTGGCTCGGGCTGTGTGGGCTGCGGCCTCTGACCACGTCCCCCTGAACAACACAGCGCCACTTCAACAACTTGGCTGCAGTTCTTAATTTAGGATCTACGCACGAATGTATAATGTTAAGGGGTGTGGAACATAGAGACCAATTTCCCTAACAGGGATATGTATTCTTCACAGCGCCGTTAGTCGTAGCAAAGAACTTCAACAATAAAACCACAGATTCCATGTCTTCATCGTTTGAAGCATCCCTGGTGGCAAGGCGTGAAGTGGGCAGGTGGGGAAAGTGACTGTCTTACCCTTCACAGCCAACCAGGAGAGAACTCTCTAGTACGCATCATTTTTAAAGGATTTGGAGGAAAATCCAGACCCAAACCGTCTTTTCCTTTACACGGCAGCGTGAAGTCTGAAATGTTTTAATTCAAAAATAATTCTTGAATTTAGAAAAGTCTTGAACTCAGTGAAATTAGTCATATTTGCTGACGTTCGAATCAAGGCACCCTTTTCCGTGGGGACGACAACAATCCACACAGCGGGAGCAGCCTTCCGCTTCTCCGGAGCTGTGGAGGTGCTGCAGGCATGTTGGGTGCCGTAGCGGAGGCTGAGGCGCGGCTCCCGAGTCCCTCCCTCACGCACTTTGTCTTTCTTCTCCCTTGCAGTCCCTCCCTTCATTCAGCCCTTTGAGTTTCCGAGATTCTCCATCGGGCAGCGGGTCTTCATCCCGTGCGTGGTGGTCTCGGGGGACCTGCCTATCACCATCACCTGGCAGAAGGACGGCCGGCCCATCCCCGCCAGCCTCGGGGTCACCATCGACAACATCGACTTCACCAGCTCCCTGCGGATCTCCAACCTCTCCCTGATGCACAACGGGAACTACACCTGCATCGCCCGGAACGAGGCCGCCGCCGTGGAGCACCAGAGCCAGCTCATCGTGAGAGGTGAGGGAGGCCTGCCGGCCGCGGCCCAGAGCCGGTGCTGCTCCTGCCGCCGCCTGGCGCTTACTCTGTGCGAGTGACCCGACTCAGACACTCAGTCTCCCTTTCAAACAGTAGGACTGCAGACACCCGCGTGAGGCCCCTAAGTCCCACACCACGGTTTCCTGTGCCGTTAATCCAGTATTTCCCACAATCGGCAACCAAGAGATGTGCAAATGAGAATCTGGGGCCGTAGGATTTAATTCATGCCATAGGCCTTTGACCTAACCCAGTGATTCCTGAGGCCTAAAATACGTTAGCTGTTGCTTGACTGTATTTATTGTACTCAGAAATTTTTAATAATATTTCTTATCTAAAATTAGCTTCTACAATTACTATTTACCAAAAGATACTTGGCTTCTAAAATTAATATTTACCAAAATTTACATAGTTTTTTAAGTGTGGTTTTCTTTGCCCTTTTCTTCTATTTTGCGTGAAATCCATTATTATTTTGGGAGGCTACCTGGGCATTTTTAAATGAAGCAGAGTGTGACAGTACTTACAGAAAAAATTAAACCCAGGTAGTCTGGCATGTAGGAGACACTGGCCTGGCCCCAGGACACCTAAAATGAGTTGATCTTCTTTCAAATCTTCATTCAAGACCCCAGCTTCTCAGCAAGGTTCATACTCTGCATTCGTGAATTAAGCTCCACGTTGTCCCTAACCTATCAAATGTGGGTATTCTCACTTACTGATTCTCCAAGACTACCGGATCCATGCCTACTCAAAGGTAGCAGTATGAAATTAACAACTTAGGTAACATTGACCATTTATATTTTAAAATTCCCAAAGCTGGGGTCTGGTTTAGAAGGCAGATGAGTTCTGTTATCTTCAGATTTGCCAGTAGCAGACTCTTCCTTAAGCAGGAGATTCCTTGTCCTTCCTCTGTCCTCAATCTGTGTCCCCGGCACCGCCACTTTCTTTCTCACTGGAAAGGAGCTCTCTGTCCTACCGGCCAAGGGGAGAAAGCCAGGCCCACGTGGAGTCACGTGAAGAAACGGACTCCCTGTGTCTGAAACAATAATTCCCAGGGCATGTAAGTGAGAAAATAGATTTTCAGCAAGATACAAACTAAAGATATTCACAGCACTCCTTTTCTTTCACCTTACACTTTTGAGTAGACAAATCAAAATGCGTGAACTTTTCCTTCTACTTTTTTGAAGATGAAAATGGGAACCAAACTCATCTGTTCCCGAAGTGTTTTCTTAGAAGGGGGAGGGCCTCCCAGGGTTGCTTTAGGAGGGCAAAATGCTCCGCCAGCCTATTTTCATCATAATCAGCTCTGAAGGATCCAGGTCAGGGAACACAGATGATAGATAAAAGTGTATGTGGATGTTCTTCAGATCACCTTTCCTTCAAGGAAGAGCAGCCAGGCTTTTCTGACCAAGACAAAGGTGCAAGGAATTGCGATGAAGCCTAGAAATCTCCCTGTGATCATTCTTCGAAAGCCAGCGCTGTGACATGCACTCCATGTACATCATCAGTCAGGGCCGCAGCCCCAAGAAAGGAGAGTGCTTCGCATGGAGGCCACGGTGACTGGGAAGTCAGCAGGGACCATGACCACGTGGTGGTGGTCCTCGTAGTGTGCGTGTGTGTCATTTCTTTTTTTCAGTATTTCCCCCAAATCTGTGGTCAGTGGTACTCAAATTCTGCTACACTGAAATTCCATGGGGAGCTGAAAAGAAGTTCTGATGTCCAGCTTTCACACTGCGCTCACTGAGTGGCTGTCTTTGGGGGTGTGACTCAAGCATCAGTAATTTGTAAAATCCCCAAATTGATGCTGAGATGAGCTCACTTTGAGTCCTGGTGCCCGGGGTGATCGGAATACACAGTTATTGTAGAAGCTTTCTTCCTCCATGCACAGAGAGGATGCTGCTGCCTCTAAATAGGGTGGTGACAAGGCCTGATTGATCTTTTTAATTATCACGCTAGCAGCTATGTGACGAAGGACCTGAGCCACAAGAGGGGGAGTAGCTGCAGAACGATTTCAGAAGTGCAGGCAGGATAAGCGCACCCAGGACGAAGGCAGTAACGGCCAAGGTAATGAGAAGGAGTTGAATCCGTGATGTTTCTGTGCTGGTCAGCTCTTCATCACTGGGACCCAACACCCCACATCCCACTTAACGGAGGAGAGGGTCATTAGACGCTTTGCAGCACTGGGAGGTGTCAGAAGTAGTGCACTAACGCCGGGGCACAGGCTCCACAAGGCGGAACCAAGAGCAATGACTGGAAATGACAGGCTCTGAGTCCGGGCCAAGGGAGAAAATAAACATAAACGTGTCAGACAGGACCATAACTGAGTAGCAGGTATTGGACTCATCTTCCTGCCATAAACAACTATGAAATTAGACAAAAAATACATAAAGAACTGCTTCCAGACCATGAGACAGGAGTTGTGGCCCTTCAGGAAGCAGGGAGCAGGAGCAGAGGGTCACGTAAACCCCAGACTTCCGCCGGACCTCTTTCCCAAGCCAGGGCAGAGGGATGTGGACCCAGACAGGTAACAGTGGTCCTTCCAGGTGGGGAAAGCAGAGGTGGGAAGTTAGAGCTGCTGGGCAGGCGGCACATTGCGGGCAGGGTCTGGGAGACTGGGGAGCCGCTCAGAGAAAGTTCTGCGTACATCTGTGCAGGATTCCTATGGTATGAACCACTGATGAGGTCCAGAGGAGTTACACCTGGCTTAAAAATGCTGGGGCTCTCATGAGCTGGAATGGGGAAGCCAGCAGGGCTCAGCTGGACTCCCAGAAGGGCCCTGCACCGAGGGTGGGTGGATCTACCCTGCAGTTAGGACTGCTCCAGGCCGGCCCACAAAGCCTCCATAGGAGACCTTGACAGGATAAAGCTTCTCTGCCATAAGCCAACTGTCTGCAAAAAACAAATTCACTCAGAAACAAAAAAGGACAAAATTCAGGCTGTCAATAATGAGCATATCCACAATGACCTATGCACTGTAAAGTATCATCCAACAAGGAGGAGGCAAGAAAACACGAACTATAAGAAGAGGGGGACAGAAATAACACAAACAGACACGTGGAAGCAGTGAAGGCGCCGCCGGCAGGCGAGGTGTGGACGCAGCTGTCGTGAGCGTTTTCCAGGGTGCTAAGGGAAAGACGTGTGCAATGCGCCACACACGGGAACCCAGCAGAGAAAGGGACGGTGTTTCCCAGGAGGACCAAAAGAACATTCTAGACCTGCAAAATAGGCTACTTCACACAAGAAACTCACTGGGTATATTTCACAGGAGATGGAATGCTGCAAAGCAAGGGATCCCTGAATTTGAAATCAGAGTGCAAGAGAAATACCCAGATTTCAGTTCAGAAAATAGAAATTGGGGCTCAGTGAAGATAGACAGATAGATAGACAGACAGACAGATAGATAGATAGATAGATAGATAGATAGATAGATAGACAGATAGATAAATAGACAGATAGATAGACAGATAAGTAATAGATAGATACAGCAAAAAATACACGCTTCAGGAAAAGAAAAGCTATTAATGTTTAGAGGTGAATGACCACAACTTAGAGCACCTCTTATTATTGTAGAGGCCAGAGGTAGCTTCTGTTAATCTCATGATAATCTCATGATGTCTCAATGTCTAAATAGATGTCATATATATATATATATGTCTAAATAGATGTCATATATATATATATATATATATATAGAGAGAGAGAGAGAGAGAGAGAGAGAGAGAGAATAGATCAGAAAGCTCAAAAGAACCCAAGAAGAGCAAACACATACACAGCTCTCCTATGGCATATCAGAACCAATGAAGGGAAAAATTATTAAAGGCACCCAGATAAATTAGACTCACTTCATCTGGGGGGACAAATTCCAAAATCTTCAGGTCACTCATCAGAAACAGTGCCAATCAAGAAAGAATGAAGCACTGCCTTTAATGTCCCAAAAGGGCAGGGGCAAAGCTTCTTATCAAAAGACTTCATAAACAGCCAGATACCGTCACACCATCTTCAGATGCAAAGAGGAAACAGTGATATCTTCAGACAAGCAAAATGTGAGAAATTAATCTGTATTGAGCTTTCACTACAATGTATTTCAGGAATTTTTACCAAATTAAAATTATTTCAGATGGAAATGTTGATCTATAAGAGTAATGCAAACCCCTGGATATGACAAACTATTAATAGATATTAAAGATATTTAGTTTTCATTTTTATAACTTTCAAAAATATATATTTAAACAGTAACAATTTATAAGGATTTATAGCATGGAAAATAAAATGTACAGCAATGCGGGCACAAAGGATGGGAGGAAAACAATGGACACTTACTGTTGTGAGATGATTTTAAAATGATACATGAAGTGGTGTAGGTTATTTGAGCACAGACATTCACAGCTAACTATGTACACTGCAAACTCTAGAAGCATCAGCAAAAACTAAAACCAAGAGATGCAGCTGTTATTCCTATAGAAGACATAAAACAAAACAATAAAATACACCCGTGACCAGAAAAATGGTAGAAAAAGAGAAAGAAGGTAATAAAGAGGAGGTGGGAAAATAAACAACAAATAGGTAGTGAGTGGAGCTAAACACAGGCATATCAATATGTACATTAAGGGCAGACGATCTCTCTGCACAAAACATTTCAGACTGATCCAAAACTATGATTCAAGTACTGGCTGTCTATTGAAAGCTCACTTTAAATAATGTCATCATGTGAAACTATAAATAGGTTGAAGGTAGAATAATACAAACTATCAAAATCTTGATAGACTATACCAATATTAGACAGGCTAGACCTCAAGCCAAGGAACACTGCTGTGCATCCATAAGGACATGTTATAATGACAAACTCACCAGCTCATCAAGAAGAAATCAACCTTTGATGTGTGGATGTAGCTAACAATGGAACTTCAAAACACATGATGGGAAATCTAATGGAACCAAAGGGTAAAAGACGAACAGGCAGTGAAAAGTGGAAAGGTCAGCACTCCCTT